TCCCTACATTTTTGGGGTTGGAATTATCATTTTTTTTACGAATTCTAGGATTAGAAGCAAACGGATGATTAATCCGAGAAAGGGGATGAAAAAGTAGGTTTGGCACTGTATGTCAGGTGAAAGATTGGTGAGATTTTGGTTTCATTGGAGCGTGTAAAGTTTTTTTTTTTTGCCCACAATCAAAATTTTGGGACACCCCTTTTGGGGCAATCTGTTTTTGTTAAGAAGAGGTGGTTGAGTGAGTTTTGTCTTCCTCCTCATGACAGCTTGCCTTTCATGATGGTGTTATCCATCCATATATCTAATGCAAATCTCATCATCGAATTTTATACCTTTTGTCATTTAACGTAATTCACTGGTGTTGTACTAGATTTTTTGTTCCCCTTTTTTGTCATTTACCTTAGTTCTTTAATTGATGTTTCCCTTGACAGTTCATCTCGGGTCGTTGTTGTGTAGATAAAGATTTTTTTTGAAAAAACTAGGAAATTAATGGTCCGGGTTTCATTTATCTAGTGAAAGGGAAAAAGGGTTCTTTGCAAATTTACATTTTGATATTTGATTTGTAGGCCATGTTTCTTTAGATTCATCAGACCAAATGTGTTAATGATATGCTACTGTTGTTGGTAACAGGAAACCTCGTCTGCTCAATACATATTGCAGCAATACACGGCTGCTTGCGGTGGACAGAAGCTTCAGAGCTCGGTTCACAACGCGTATGCGATGGGACGGGTTAGGATGGTTGCTTCGGAATTCGAGAGTGCTAACAAAGTCACAAAGACCAGAAGCTCCTCAAAGGCCGTGGATTCGGGTGGGTTTGTTCTGTGGCAGATGAATCCCGATATGTGGTATGTGGAGCTCGCACTTGGGAAGAGCAAAGTTCATGCCGGCTGCAACGGGAAGCTCGTGTGGAGGCACACCCCTTGGCTTGGCCCCCATGCTGCAAAAGGACCGGTCAGGCCATTGCGTCGAGCCCTTCAGGTGATTCATCTTGTCCTTATTATATGATATGGATCTCTCTTGTTAGCAATGCCATGTGCATGAGGGCTTGTTTCTCTTCTATTCTATCCATTTCCATGTCTCTAATGAAATTCTGTTCTGAGTATTATCTCACTGCAATCTCTCCGTCAAAACTTAGTTAAAGTTCACTCCTTTTCCCATTTTTGGAATAGGGTCTTGACCCTAGAGGGTAACTTTGTTCAACTATGATAGTAAAGATTGTAGGCAGATCTTTGTTCTTAGATTAACTGTGATCTTTCCATCGAAACTTAGTTAAAGTTCACTCCTTATTCCTTTTCTGAAATAGGGTCTTGACCCGAGAACCACAGCCAGTATGTTTGCTAACGCGAGATGCATCGGTGAGAAGAAGGTCAATGGAGAGGATTGCTTTATCCTAAAGCTATGTGCAGATGCCGCAACTCTTAAGGCCAGGAGTGAAGGACCGGCCGAGATTATAAGGCATGTACTCTTTGGTTACTTCAGTCAAAAAACCGGGCTTCTGTACCATCTCGAGGACTCCCATCTGACCAGAATTCAGAACAATGGAGGCGATGCTGTGTATTGGGAGACTACAATAAACTCGTTTCTCGACGATTACAGACCCGTGGATGGGATCATGATTGCTCATTCGGGCAGGTCCATAGTCACATTATTTAGGTTTGGGGACACAGCAATGAGCCACACCAGGACCACCATGGAAGAAGCTTGGATGATTGAAGAAGTTGCATTCAACGTCCCGGGCCTATCTCTCGCTCTCTCTCTCTCTCTCTCCTCTCTGTGCGCTGAACTGAGGTTCAACACACAGAGCGAAGCCTACGACTTGTCTGTGAAAACGATGGCGAAACCTTTGTTAGGCCACCCGGGGCACTGTCCGAGACTGACCGCTGGAGAAATGCCTCACCATTGATGGCTCTCGGGCTAAGTATCATCTTCCAAACTGAGGTTTTTAGGAGGTTAGTGAATCTGTTTTTAACAATGGATCTTCCCCCTCAAAATGTAAATAGATGAAGTGAAGGTAGGGTTTTTGGGCACTGAGATTAGGGTTCTTCTCCCTCTGGAGAAACCCATTTGGTCAGAGATTGTTTCTGTTCAGACAACTAATCTGTGAGAATAGTAACTTTTCATGATGTTGTCTCATTTTCTTTGACCATGGTAACTCAAATCTTTGTGCCAGTCCTAAGCTATAACCTCTCAACACACACACACATATATATATATATATATATATATTCAGCTTATTAGACTTACCCATTATAGCTGCAAGCCTCGTGGCCCAGCCCACGCTGGTTAAAAACGGTTTTATAGAACCGAATAAATCGTTCTTGTACAAATACCGAATCGAATCTGACAAATATCAAACCAAAATCTGAATTATTCACTATATATATATATATATATATATGGTTTGTTATTTATTTAGTATTTATATAACCGTATCGTTCTGAACTGAACGGATAGTAAAACCTAATTGAATTAAACCGTTTAACATTTGATATAATTTTTATAAAACTGAATCGATTGAATATCGTATATGAAGAAATAATATGAAAAAAAAGACTTTAAAAATATTTTAATAAAATATTTTTACTAGTATATTCCTAATGGGAAATGATAACAGGCGTAAAGAAATTTTAGAAATTTTATCGAGAAAATTTTTAAATATTGGATTTGTTGAATCCATATAGATGTGAAAAAGTTATAAATCCGTAATTGATTTTTCTCTTTGTTTTAGTAATCGGTTCATCAAAAGATGGTTACATATTTATTGGTTATTTTGTAAAATAAATAGTTTGCAAACTTTGCAAAACAAATTGAATGTTTAATCTTATATTATTTTTAAAAATAACAAAATCGCATGAAAATTAAGATTAAGTATTGAGAAAGAATCGGGTAACTTTATATCACTTTAAATTGTCTTCTTTCTCTCATTTTACGTAATTGCAGCTTAAAAAAATATCTAATTTCATAGAAAAATTTATTTATAACGAATTTAATAACATTGGTGAAATTATCAATGTTTGTTTATAATTATCGTACAATTATAAAGATATTTTCGTGTGTGTGTATATATATGGGTATCCATTTTTTTAATATTAAAGCCCAAATCAAAATCCGTATTTACAGTTGTCATCGAGATATCCGGTTCGGTTTAGTTGATATTTAATTATACGAAAACGGGATATTTTCTTCATTTCATTTATGGAGGCCGGAGAGATCATGAGATACAAAAGACCACGTGATTTTAAAAAAAAAATATTTTATTTTAAAATTAAAGTATTTTGAATAGTAAAAAAATTAAGAATATTTTGTACAATATACAAAATCTGGAAAAAAAAAATTATACACCTCGTAAAGATATTTTTATATTTAAGCAAATTTCCTCTTTTTTGGTCGATTTAACATTTTCGTTTACAATGTACTTTTTTTGTTGTATTTAATATTTATCCAAGTACAAGCTTTGTTGGGAAGCACGAGAAAATAAATAGATAAAATTAGAGAGTTAGATTTAAATAAATGCTAAAATGATAATGATCGAATTTAATTCAACGAACTCTCGCATTTTTTTTTTATACATTGGGAAACCCCGTGACTACCTACCCTTACAAACGGAGATGAACTGGCCACCACCCACGCCTAACAGTCTCCATGGACCTCAGTCCGCCGGACCTGGCCACCAGGCGCGCCTAACGCTCGGGCCGTAATTGGGTTTAAGTGCCTGTGGGTCAAACTCCAAACCCACGCGTACGAGCCTGCAACACACGCGTAGGAGGTAAATCAATCCGTTATGACAGGCTGGCAGGCGAGTAGGTCAGAGGAAGTGAGACGGCGAGGAATCGAACTCCCCACCTCATGGATCCTTCCCATGACCTGGGGCGAACCCCGAACTCTCGCAATTTGTCATCAATCAAACGTTTTTTTTATATAAATTATCCGACACGGTTTACATGTTCCACTTTAGAATTGTTTTTTGTTAACTACCACTTTAGAAATATTGTTTCAATATTCAACTGTTTTTTATATAAATATTCAACTGTTTTATCGTCCTTTTTTTCTCCTTCTTTATAGACGATACATCATCTTTTTATTGATTATAAGATGTTCTAAATTACGTCCAATTAAAAAATTTAAAAAAATGACCAAAAAAATAAAAAAATGGCAATGAACGAAAAAAAAATCGATAGGGGTCATGATAGTTATCAGTTTCTTCGTAAGATATAATACAAATAAAAATGATAATCAACCTATTTTGTTTATTATGAGGACTTTCTATTCCCCCAAAAAAAAGGTTTCATGACCTTAAATTCTCGAATGCTTCATTATTTCTTATTATATAATGATGGATGTCCAAAACAAGTAAGAAATAAATTATTATGTGGCCCATGTAATTTGAGCTTTCGGGTTTTAATATTAATATGGTTTTTTGATGGATAAGAACTCATTAAAGAATTAAGGCCCAGGGGTATTATTGGAAGTCCCCTCTCTCCTTACCCTAATACAACTAGGGTTTCCGCACCCTATAAAAGGAACATTATGGTTTATTATTTCTGTCCATCAAGAAAAAAACTTATAGTACGGGAGAAAGGAGAGAAAACCCTAGAAGACTTTTGGTTCTTAAAGTTATTCCGCTGCAATTCATGGATCCAGGTATGGTTTTCTGATCTATGTTTTATTGATTGTTTTGTGTGAATTATATAAAGCCAGATCCAGTTTATCGTTTGGGTTTTCATAAAGCAAATCTCTGAAAACCTGAAATTATCTTACAATGGTATCAGAGCCTGGTTCGTGGCTTAATATAATTCACCGGTTAAAGTTTTCCATCGGATTAAAGTTTTCTCTAATTATATATTTAGAGATTCATATATCGATGAGAAAGTTTGATTTCTTTTTCTAATGTTCATCTTTGAAATAATAAGATATTACATAGATTTGAAATCTGTGATATGATTTCTCTTTTTGAAATCTGTATGTATAATGAATTTATACATGGTCATATGAATTTCTCTTTTAAGTCAATATGTATAATAAATTTATACATTATCATATTTTAATATTTTATGCATATATGTATGATATAATGATGTATATTTTGACGTGCATATTAAAGGTACATGTGCATATATGTGTATGTTACGGATCTTACAGTGTTTTGATGTATTCATATACAGTTATTAAACTTATAGAATTTTATTTATTTGAGATATATTTATAATTCGATATAATAGTGATATATATATTAAATTTTATTTATGTTTATTTATGCATATAATAATGGTAGTCAATATATGTATATATATATATAGGTCGAATTGTATATAAAAGTTATATATTCTTTTCTTTTCTTTTTTTATTCGATTCGATATCTACATTATGGAATCTTGTTAGTCACCAAAGTGGCCTAGATTAATTAAGATTAGATATTCAAATCGAATATTTTCAGTTGTTCAAAATGAAAGGATGCTAAAAGATGATATAAAGGTACAGTTGAACAATTGAGATTATTAATTGTATCGCTATGAGGTCGGCCAAAGTTGGACCATTGTATATAGTTAATAATATTAAAAGGGATTGATATTTTATCTTGATCAATAAGTATGTATATCCAAAGATTGCATATTTATTTGATTTTTAATATTATGATGTCCATAAAAGTATTTTGTATCAATGTTGGTATGCGTATTTAAATTCCTACCCAAAGGTGAATTTAAATACGTCTTATAACTTTTGATACATTAAATTATTGTGATTGTAGCATCAATGATTGTGTTTGTATTTAAGTATTGCCCAAAGGTTGCTTAAATACGTCTTAAGTTTCTCGTTTTATTTCGTTAACTCAAAGCATTAATAAGTGAGCATGTATAAATGTTTTGCAGCTTCTTTTAACCCTATGGCAACTGGCAATGCTGTGGTCAAGTTCAACGGGCTTAACTATGCAGATTGGTCTGAACAGATCCAGTTTTATCTGGGTGTTTATGATTTGGATCTTGCATTATTGGTTAATGAAAAGCCTATCATAACAGATACCAGCTCAGAAAATGAAAGGACTTATTTTGAGTCCTGGGAGCGGTCTAATAGGTTATGTTTGAACCTTATGAGGATGACCATGACGGAAAGTGTTAAGCCATCAATGCCTAAGACTGAAAGTGCAAGGGAATTTATGGATAAGATTAAAGAGTATTCACAATCGGATTTAGCTGATAAGTCAATTGTAGGCAGTCTCATGAGTGAGCTGACTACGAAAAAGTTTGACTGGTCTCAGCCTATCCATGATCATGTGACTCACATGTCTAACATGGCAGCAAAGTTAAAGACTATGGAGATGGATGTTAGTGAAACATTTTTGGTTCAATTCATCATTAACTCTCTGCCTGTTGAGTTTGGTCAGTTCCAGGTGAATTACAACACCATTAAAGAAAAATGGAACTTTCAAGAATTGAAGACCATGCTGATACAGGAGGAAGGGAGATTAAAGAAGATGAAAGGACACTCAGTCCACCTCGCAGTCCATGATAGTGCCGGCAGCAGTAAGAAAAAGCCAGGGAAAAATGATAAAAAGAAGGATAAAACTCCAATGAAAGCTAATGTGAGCCAAATCCAGAAAGAAGTCAAGTGTTTCTTCTGTTTAAGAGTGTACACATTAAGAAAGACTGCAAGAAAAGAAAGGAATGGTTCGAGAGTAAAGGTAAACATAATATTTTTGTTTGCTTTGAATCGAACATTATTGAAGTACCTAATAGTACCTGGTGGTTAGATTCTGGTGCAACAACTCATGTTTCTCATATTAAACAGGGATTTCGTATGATCCAACCCATAAAAGGACCTGAAAGACACGTGGTTATGGGAAACAGGATGAAAGCACGAATAGAAGGCATTGGGACTTATAGATTGATCTTGGATACTAGTTGTCAT